AATAAGATACTGCGTAAGCTTTAGTATTTTTGAATATTCATAAGCACTGTTTTTATTAATACTGTTGAAACATAAAATATGATATTATCAAAAAATATGAAATATAACTGCATATAATTATGCAATCAAACATAATTCATTACTACATTTTTGTTTAATTAATTATTAATTTTATTATTAAAAGTCAGCACAACCACAAGAAGTTCTTGGAAACACAGGCAGTGGACTTAAAACAGACATCAATTAAAGAAATAGTAATTGAAATAATCAGAAACATTTAAAACAAATTTATGATTGAAACACTCTCAGCAAAAAAATTGCAAAAAAACAAAGTGTTGGATTCTAAGAAAACCAGTACATACCAAAACCTGCAGGTAGAAAAAAAATGTTTAGTGAATGTATGGTATTCTATTCTGTATTTGGTCTAAAGGATATGTATTAAATTTTGTGAAAGAAAATTTAATGTGATACATTATTGATAATTTTATAACAAAAAAATGTGATCATGTGAAACTCATAAAAATTCCGCCCACATTAATTCTGTCCCAGAATTCCGCCCAGAATTTTGTTTGACAATTCCGTTCCAAAATTCCGTTCCGAAATTCCGCCCCGAGATTCCACTTCAAAATTCCGCCCCGAGATTCCGCTTCAAAATTCCGCCCCAAGATTCCGCTTCAAAATTCCGCCCCAACTCATATTTCGTCCCAATTCCGCCCAGAATCCGTCCTGTTTCCGCCTGGAATCTGGCCGGAATCCGTGCCAAAAGCAAATGGTTTAACACTTGTATATTTGGGGGAGAATTTAAATTTCTGGGCGGAATCTGCTATTGAATTCCGCCTCATTTCCGTGCAGAAAATTTCGTACAGGAATATATAAAAATATACTGCAGCATATAGCTTTTATCAACACTATTTTTAATCTGCATTCTTAGTAACTTGATAATTAATTAAATAATAATTTTTTAATGGAATTGTTCATTGTTTGAACATAATCATTTTTACATGCTAAATACTTGTAATAGAATAATTTAAGAGCACTGAGCATTATGCAGCAATGGAGTCTCTAAATCATATAAACAAAAAGGCTTCAGGAGTTTGCATGACTTTTTAATAGTAAGTGATCAATTAACATATTTATGCACCATGAAGTTAAATGACATTCCATCAGCCTGCTCTCCCTCCCTCCATAATCTCCATCTTGGATGAGCAAAACCCACTTTTGAAAAACTATTCCTTACCACTTTAGATAAAGGACTTAATCTCAAATCCCTTCCAAGTATTTTCGAAATCTTACTGTTTAGTTTAGCCAATGAAGTGGTTGTCACATGACATAATCACATGGTATAGGAGCATCTTACAGATAAATGCTCTCAATTACAAATCTAAAATACTCTGTTTATAATATTCATTATCACATAAGTTAATGGTGTATCTATTGGACTTGTTTTACAAGAGTAATGAAAATTTATATAAAATTACACAAAGTAACAAAATATTTATCATAAATATCTGTTCCTATATATGTATACATGTAGAAGTAAATTTTGCAGTTTTCACAAGAAACTGTGATCTAATGGTTGTTATGTTTCACTTGATATAGATATTAACAACCTTTTTATCACACCCGTGAAAATGTTTAGAGTATGACAGTTTGATGTTTGTAGAACTTACTACATAAGTGTCAGTTTTAAACAGGATAACCAATACATTTTCTTCTCTTTTTTAGTCTCTTTAAGTACACATAATTTTCTATGATATTTTGTGCAGCAATCAACTGCAAGATAAAATAATTACCAAGAACCCAATTATTCGACCTGCAACCAACCAATCTACTTGTAACCAGTTCAAGGGTGTGTATATAATTCAAGTCACAATTTACAAAAAAAATCATTGCAATGATTTGAAATTACAGCATCATAGAAATTACAAATACTTTTCTTGTATTTTTCTTCGCACAAGAAATGTATAATCATCAAGTTCCATATATATTAGTGTACACGCCTGTGGTGAAATTTCATCTTTTTATGAAATTTGCTTTAGATTACGTACTTGACACACAAATCACCTGATATAAACATTTGGCCATTCTTTTAATTTTACTTCAATTTAACCTGACCTCAACACTGGTTCGAGTAACATCACACATGTATAAAACACAATTAAAACTTCCAGGTTCTGTTTTTTAAGAGATATACATTTAATTTATCCAGCATACAGTAGGGTCCCTGATGTGTAGCAACACCCTTAAGGTCTAACCCCCAATAATCATAAGGCTATCTGGAGAGGACTGACAATATTATTATTATTGAAGAATAAGCATCAGATTTTTCATAATTGACAAAATTTATAAAGTCTAAAATGCTATTTGTACTACTGTAACAACGAATCAACAATATCTTGTTACTTGATTATTCCATTCTGACACATCTTTGAATTAGGAAAATATTTACCATGCGGAAACTTTTAAATGTGATTTGTTCAGCAGGACACACTGTTGAAGACAACACAATCTTGTGAGGGTCGACCATCACCACCTGACACCCCACTAGAACCTGAACTACCTAATACCATATTCAAGGGCACAGTATCACTCCTGTTCAATTTTTCCCCAGAAGTATTTGTCTGTGGAATGCCCTATCCATTGCCATTTAGGCCTTACACAGTTACAAGCAAGTCCCAGTTTAGACCTCTGTACTGGGCAGCTGCATCCTTTTTACCAGTTATTAGCCAACTTTGATTTTAACTTTTATCTCAGTCTTGTATTTCTTTTTAACTTGCTTTCACATTGTGTCTATAAATTTGCACTGCTTACGATTTTGAAGCATCGTGATGACTAACACGAGGGAGGTCAAGGTTGCAAAGGGGAATAACTACCACTGCTTCTTTTCAAGGGAAATAACAAAATTTACAATGACATTTGTCGGGGCTCTTAAGGGGATTTTTTTCCCGATATAGAATCTATATGTAATAGATATACCATTGCTGCGTTGACGATTTCTGGGTTTGCGTAAATTATACCATAATCACGTGACCTTTCTTATGCCTTAACCTCACGAGACGAAGTCGAGTGAGGTTGCATACGGAAGGTCACGTGATTATTGGCGTCCGCGCCGAAGCGCAGCGCCTTTTATGTAATGAAATCATATTTTGTGAAAGGGCGACAGCAACTTCTCGAGCCTTCTATAGTTGTTCATAATAAAAGCCGATCATTCCGATCGGTATGAGGGTGCTTGATTATTAATTAGTCGCGATATGTATAATGAATAGCGAACTGGAGAATTTCGCAATGCAAACATTTTCAAATTAAATAACCTTTTCCGTCAATAAATCGCGTTATTCGGGATATTTTTATTTATCATTTTGTAGTACACTGTGGGTAATTATGGTATGTTATTCCGAAAGCTGATAATAGAATGATGAGTTGATGACCTAAATATTCCGAAAATCTATTTATAGAAGGATGTACTCCTGTCGGTAATTCCCGGTCTCTCCTGGTTTATTTTGTCGACCGGCGAATAGTACTACACGTTTATTGTCCGGTCTCTCCCGGTTTTGGAGTAGATGTTTGATATCGTTACAGAACAGAACAAATTATTAATATTTTACAGATAAATAAGCTTTTTTCAAAATGAATGTTTGTCACTTAGTTTGGTTACAATGATTAATAAACACTGATCAACTCTCAAATTTATTGATTATTATTATTATACATAAACATACAATTCGAAAAATAAAACCAACAACACAAATCGCATGTTTTATTTTATCTATATGAGATAAAAACAATAATGTGTACAATAATTGAGAAAAATGTACATTTTTATGGCATTAATATGACACTATCAACTTTGAAACAATTTATTTAATTTGTTATTCGTGTTTAGTAAAGATGCCGAGAAATAATTCAAAGTTACAAATCAGATTTTATGAATTATTCAATTGATTGATAATTTTAAAAATGATAAAGTAAAATACAAATGTACATGTATATGGTTTAAGAATTAACAATATTATATATTTAAAGATTAACCATAATTTACTGACTTTTTCCAGTTAAGTTTTGACTTATAATCGTCGGTCATTATGACAATTGAATTCTTAAAATAATAGTAAACGTAAAAACTCAGTATCAAAATAGTGCATAAAACACAAAAAAAAGAAAAGAAAACAATATTCATAAAATCTGTATTTTTTTATAAAAAACATATATTACAATTAGTGAATAAGAAACATTTATGCTCAACATGATCAACATGGTAATATAACAAGTGTCATATTGTTACTAAGTGTGGGGGTCTTCGCTAATAGCGATAACATAATAAGGGACAATTACACAAGTGTGGTGTTGATTATGCGTTACTCATATGGATTATAAATGATTGTATACATGTATATCCGTTGCTATTAATAACCATGATCATTAAGAAATAACAAGTAATGTTCTAATTTCTAGCATGCCAATCAAAGTTATAAATAATGAACAATGTCTTTCGTTCGTTCATTCATAAGTGATATACAATTCTGGTAAAAACCAATGAACCATTGAACAGTTTATAAGAATATCTTGTCATCATATATCTACTAGTTCATCTGCACCTGCTGCATTTCTTGTTTAGACGCCCTTTGATGCTTTGCATCAATGCTTTTCTTGTGGTATAATTTACGCAAACACAGAAATTGTCAACGCACCAATGATGTATCTGATTTAACCTATAGCTCCGCCCAGAAACACTTACTTCTTCGATCTTCAAAACTGAAAATTATACCATAGTCTGGGTTACGGTTATTGAAAATTATACTTGGAAGAATTTTACATAAGAAGCGCTGAAGAGCTATAGGTTAAGTAATAGATATACCATTGCTGCGTTGACGATTTCTGGGTTTGCGTAAATTATACCATAATCACGTGACCTTTCTTATGCCTTAACCTCACGAGACACATGAATAAACCAATTTTGATTTCATTTTATAATTAATTTAACAAATGTGCATTTGTTTTACCTGTTCAGTTGCTGGCAAATGTCATCCCAGCATTTCTGTCGGGATCTCCGGATACTCTCCTTGTTTGGGCCCGCAAGGGCACCAAACAATAAATTCTCGTTCCCAAGGACGAGATCTATCAAGGTGGACTCCTCTGCCACTGTCCACCTTGATTTATCCGCCTTGGGAACACATTCAACTTCTGTCATGTCTGTCGGCTCCATATTTACAGCAGACGAACTGTAAACTTCCGGTACTCCGGGCCGCTTATGTAAATAACGAAATCGACTCATTTTCGTGCTCAACTGAGATCGGTCTCAGAAGTTTTTATAATCTCACTTTGAGCTCAAATCTCAACTGAGTTCAAACTCGGAGTTTTGAGCTGAGTTCTGAGTTGAGATTTTTAAAATGTTTATAACCTCGGGGCCTGTACTTACCGTCCTCTCTCTGCGTACGTCTGCAAGTATTGTTATCAGGTCCACCGCAACAACTGTACAATAGTCCAACAGAGTCGCATTTGTCGTTTGAAATTCACTTAGGTGTAAACATACCAACAGTTTGAAAAATGAATGCACCGGCGTAAAGGCAGCCTATGCAATCCAGCATACAGGGTGATAGCTGGAGAATCTTCGAATATGTCTGTAAACATAAATTTAATGATTAAGCTAGACTTACCTTCGTAGAAGTAAGGCGAAGGTTGATCATAATTTCATCCGACACAAAACTCCCTAAGGGCTCACACAGATTAGGAACGCAGCTACCAGCAGCCAAGGTATTCATTTTTTAGAGAAAGTTACGAGTATATATTTTGGAGCAATTTTATCGGGTGGAAGCGGGCGGGCGTGTGAGCCCTTAGGGAGTTTTGTGTCGGATGAAATTATGATCAACCTTCGCCTTACTTCTACGAAGGTAAGTCTAGCTTAATCATTAAATTTCATCCAACACATAAACTCCCTTAAGGGCCCCACAGATTGTTTAGAGCAAATTGCTACGAAATATTCCAATTCGACTCAAAATAATTATATAATAATTATTATACATATATGTACTATGACAAAACAAAACCTCAATAAACATTACAACGACATTATTATTATTATTATTATATTTATTTTATATATTTCATCATTTAATAATACTCATTTGTAATTCATTAGTATCTTTTGAGAATGTTTTGTTGTAAAATTTTTCAAAAGTACTTGAATTGTTCCAGCCTGCCGCTTTGATAATTTCAGTTAAAGGAACACCTTTGTATAATGCATAAGAAGTACTGGCATGTCTTGTACTATGTGGTTTAAAGTATTCCTGAATTCCGGCTTTTAACATTGTAATTTTTATCCATCTGCCGACAGTTTGTTTTGAAACTGAACCATGTGGCTTCACTGTTGATATAAGTAACTGTTTATCTTTTCGCATGTGCATTGTCCTATTTAGATATTCTTTCAAAGTTTCAACAATGCACAGTCGAGAGTTATCCGGGAATGCAATTAATATTATTGGTGGTACATGTACACCTGGTCGTGTTTGTTTCAGAACACTTGTAATCCGAATAATAATTCTGTCAGATCTAATAGAGATATCTGAGACGTTAATTGTATGTAAAGTTTGACACCTCTGTGCCGTGACTAATAAAAACAGCATGCATAGTTTACACGATAATGAAAGAAGCGAGCTAGTGTCCATCTTCTGTAGATAATTTATAACAGTTTTAACGTCCCATGTGGATGTGTACCGTGGCAGTGCCGGTCTTAATTGGAAAATACCTTTCATAAATCTAGTAATTAACTCATTATCCTTTATATCAATGTTGCCCGTCAGTCGAACAAAACAACTAATTGCTGATCTGGCTGTTCCAACAGCTGTGTAACTTAAACCCTGTTCGTAAAGATACTCTAAGAAACCTAAGACTGTGTTTATATGCGGTGCAAAGGGATTTGTCTCCCCTTTACAATAATGTAACCATCTTTTGATATACGAGTCATATTGTTTACGCGTGCCCATTCTCCATGATTCAATAATGATTTTTCTTGTTTGTTTCGGTACCCCTCGCTTTCGTAAAGCTTTCCTGATATACAGAAAGCCACTAGTGTCATTTTTGTTAAAGGATGTTTTATTCCTGGTTTGTGTACCAAGCTCAATATTTCTTGAGATTTTGGTAATATATAGCATGGACCGTTTATTAATTCTGTTAAAATTGGCCACCACGCCTGTGTTGTCCAGAGTGGGGCAATTATTACTGTCTCTGTTTTGTCCTCTTCGATTTTTTGTAATATGCGCGACATCAGGCTGAAAGGAGGAAACATGTAATATAAACATTTATTCCAAGAAATTGTAAAAGCATCAACAGCAAATGCGTTTTGTTCTGGATATCTAGTTACATATTTTGGCAATTTTGCATTAAGTCTTGAAGCAAATAAATCAATTTCTAATCGTGGAAATTTCATTCTTAGTTTTTGAAAAATTGTTTCACTTAATGACCATTCTAAGTCGTCGTTTCCATTTCTGCTTAAACCGTCTGCCTGTGTATTCGACACTCCAGGCACGTGACACGCGGATAAATGTATTTTCTTTTCAATACACCAAAACCAAATTCGTCGCGCAATACAATCTAAATTTTTTATTTTTCCACCCAAACGATTTATATATGTACAACTAGTTGTATTATCAGTGTGAAGACGGACATGCGTATTTGTGATATTTTTACAAAATGTCTTTAGTCCAATTTCGCACGCTTTCAGTTCTAAAACATTTATATGCATCTTTTGTTCGTCAACTGACCAGTATCCTTGGGTATTCAGATTATTGGTTTTATCATGAGCTCCATACATTTTTAATGAAGCGTCTGTGTAGATATTTATTGTTGGAGGTGTTATTGTTATTGTGTTAAAACTTTTCCGAAGGTTGTCAATCCACCATTGAATGGTATCAAATAACGTATTTGGAATAGACATAAATGAGTCAAAATTTCCAGAATGAATTTTGAGTTGTTTCTCTTTAATCTTTTCTAACGGTCTAATATACAAAGTGGCGTACCGGACCCCCGGTGATGCGGCTGTCATTTTTCCTATTAGTTTTGCATACTCGCGTATAGTTATCCTCTTTTTTCGTAAAAAATCGCAACAAATGTTAATGATGTCATCTTGTTTTTCTTCTGTTAATCGCACTGTCATAGTCTCAGAGCAGAGTATGAACCCTAAGAAAACCAACTTTTTGCATGGTATAAGTACCGACTTTGATTCATTTATCGTAAGTCCCAAACTGTCCATTAATTTTACTGTATCTATAACATTTTTTGAACAAGTTTGAAAAGAATCTCCCATTAAACATGAATCATCTATAAAATATACGCTAACGTGGCCAAGTGCTCGTAGGTGTGCGAACACCGGTTTTAAAACTTTTGTCCAGATTTTTGGACTTAGGGAATAACCCATAACCAGCGCGGTAAATTGATACTTAATTCCGTCAAAGAAAAAACGGAAATATTTCCGATCGCTTTCCCTTATACTAATAGAATAATATGCATCCGACAAATCGACCGAAGCCAAGTAACCGTCCTTCCTCATTAAACACAATGCTGATTGTAAAGTTTCCATTTTAAAATGTGATTTATCTACATAGTTAGTATTAAATTGCTTGAGATTTAAAATAATTCTAATGCGTCCATCTTTTTTCGGTCTAATAAAAATGTTTGATATAAATTCATTTTCGATGTCATCCGTAGCTAATTCAATTATGCCGCAATTTAAGAAACGAGACAACTCCTGCCTAATTTTATCACACTCATTAACAGTAAAATTGATTGGTTTTGGAATTCTAGATTGTATTGGTATTGAGTTTAATGTAATTTCACATCCGCGTATTGTTTTTAAAATCCATTTGTCGGAGGTAATACTTTCCCATATATTTATATTTTCTTTAGTTTTCCCGGCTTTGAAATTATTTTGTGTGTTTTGAAAACAAACTTTAAAAGATTCACTTACTGAAATTACTTCTTCATGTTTTTCTGTATCCCTTTCCCCCTTTGTCTTCCTGTGTAATTTTGATTTGTTCGTGGAGGGTAGGCCATCGTTGTTGAATATTGATACTTGTTGAATGTTCGGTTCCGATTGTATGACCCCCCTCCCCTTTTTCCTAAAAAAGGCTCCCGATTTGATGTAAGACTTGTTCTGTTTTCTTTCAGTTGCTTGATATTCTCGTTCAATTTATCTCCAAACAAATTTGTGGCCGAAGGTGTATTGTCGCAAAGTGGTTTGAAAATTGGAAGCAAATCTTTCTTAATTTTTTCCATGCGGTTTTCATTTGAACGCACAATGGTTTGGGCTAAACACTTAAATATGTCCCCAACTAAATCTTTCACCGTAGCTATCTGTGGTTGAGGTTGTTTCAATAATTCTAAGGCTTTCAATGTCGGTATCAGTGCCATGCACATACCCTGTTGACATTTCTGGACAGCAAAATCATACGATTTTGTGTCCTTTTTCAATTGCTTCCAAACTTGTTCGTCCACTCTTGGGATTTGTAAATTCTCAACATTTATTGGTCTTTTATGTTTGTCTTGTAATAGTTTTGTTTTCTCTGGTTTTGATTTTGATCTTAACGCCTTATTTGCCACATTGGCAAGATCCTCGTGGATAGCATCCCCTGTTTCGTCTGCATTCTGGAAAAAATCTTGCAGCTCGGACCATTCTTCCCTGTCGGGAGCCTCCCTACTTTCCTCCAGAAATTGGTCTAATTCATCATTACAATCCGAATCACTGGAATCATTGCCTGAACTTATTATCTGTGAAGTTGAGGTCAATTTTCGTCTCTTTATTCTCGCTGGTGAATGGTCCCTATTTTGTTTGTGTTTAAGGTCATTAACCTCATTTGTTAATGTCTTCAATGTAGCGTTAATTGAGGTTAGGGAGTTATGCAAGAAGGTGTCTGACGTCACTGTCTCATTACCCATTTGTTCCAACCGTTCAAAGATATTGTTGGTTGTCTGTTGCGCATGCGTCCTCCCTGTACTTCCGCCCTGGCCTACGGCCAAGTCATGCTGGAAAACAATACATCTAGTCTAAACTGACTGACAATGGATAGATATCTATCATTAAGCAACAAGTGCAATAATATCGTACAAATTTAAATATCGTTATTGTAAGAAATTATATGATGTATATCCATCTATTACCAACTTAATTTGTACGTAAAACCATAGTTGTTCGATATTTAGGCTAATTTGACGTGTTATCCGTCTTTTCGCCGACCATATGAAAAATTTACCATAACGCGATGTATTTCCATCGCTAACAAAACCAATTTTTTGGCAATTTATTGACTTTGAATCTAATAACATACTGATTCGTTTTGTAGCATATTTGACGTGGTATCCGTCATGCCCCGTCCATTATGAACGGTCAATAACAACGCGATGTATATCCATCGCTGTTGTGTGTTTTGAACAGTTGAACGTGGTATCCATTCATAAACTGTTTCCATATTGCAGAATTTTAATTTTTGTGACGTGGTATCCATCACTTATAATTTTATGTATCAATGATTCTTCAATAAAACTTGCCTCTGCTTTTTATAATTATTATAATTTGTAAAAATTAATATTACAACAAATAAAAAGAAATCTAAATAATAACGTTTAAACATACCTCGTTGTCATTCTCATCCATTTTTATTATTGTCCAATTTTTCACTATCCTCAATAAAAAAAATTCTTTGATAGATGTTTTGTTTTAGAATATTGTAACGTGTTAACCTTAGCTGCTGAAGCCTCGTAATGAATACCTTGGCTGCTGGTAGCTGCGTTCCTAATCTGTGGGGCCCTTAAGGGAGTTTATGTGTTGGATGAAATATATTAGAATTTATACATAGTTGAAAGTGGTAGATTACTACAGTAGTATTTTCGTTAGAATGGTAATTTATTCAAGGCGATATTTACAGGCACATCAAAATACATGAAACAGATGCTCATTTTTATTTTCACACTTTTTCTTTTGTAAGACTATTCATGAACGTACACTGTGGTTTTAGTCCGTCGGGCAGTGCCTTTTATAAATGTTTAATTCAGATCTCTGTCCTCCTCATGTTTTTAAGTCACGTAATGCTGCATGGTACATCTTATTTACAAACTTGTAATAATGTCTGTATCTATTAAATCATTAGCAATCTGTTTCGTCATCATGGTATGATGGACAACGGTATGAAGCCTTCGTCATATGCAACATTTGATGATTGAACTTCCAAGGCTTATGCTCATGCAGAAATTGCATCAACACAACATTTGCCTCTGCATCTGCTGCTACAACAACAACAACAACCAAAACAAAATTGCTTTAACTTTAAGGTATCAAAACATAAAATTCATAAAATTCAATTTGACGATTTACATGCTCGATCAAGGAACACACCAAATTCATGTTTGTAAGACCAACGAAATGCAGCTGTCATAGATTATCAGACTCTTATTTTAATGATGATTTTCAGTGTTGTGAAAATTTATGTAACACACAGGGCACTGCAAAGCTGTTTTTATAGAGGACAACATTGAATCTGAGAAAATTAAAAGGCGTGACGAATCCGGTAAATTGCAAAAAGTCAAAAAAATCTTCAGTATCTCGCTGTCTTACTTGAAGATATAAGCTTTGTTCACGAAATGTATGATACCAATTGTGATAAGTTTGGTAGCTGTGTGATAAAGGACAATAACTGTTATTTGATTTAAGAGTACTTAACAGATGTTAGGGGTGTGAACGGTACCTTGCATTTTCCAGTATCGTCCTTGAAAAGGCTCAATCAAACCAAGCCTGCAAATTTTTCAGTTTTGCCAATAAGGATGTACTTGAGGGATTCCGTTTTACTCTATTTTGTACATGCGCACAAAAATGGTTTTAGACTGGAGCAAGTTTTGCATAGAAATGTTATAAACTGTGTACTCCAATTTGTTATATAAGAAGGAATATCCCGGAGTAAGTTTTGAATAGAAATGTCAAAAACTGCGTACTCCAAATTAGTTATATAAGAAGGATAATGCTGGAGGTAAGTTTTGCATAGAAATTTCAAAAACTGTGTACTCCAAATTTGCCCTTGACAAACGCACCGCTTAGAACTGATCTTGATTATATGTGCAACGCTGCACGTAATTATTGATTTCGAATGACGAGAGACAACTTTTTATTTAAAAAAATTGAATTTACGATGTTATCTCCCTTTGATTATAAAAATATGCGCAAAAGTTGTTCATGAGTAACTGTAAAACATTTATCCTCAACAAATTTAACAGCAAAAACAAAGTGATCAAATTGCTAAAAAAGTAATAAAAATGTTTCATAACCGAATTATTAATAATTATAATAATAATCGTCGAAATACTGCTAGATAAGAAGAGACATCGTCTAGCTCGACTTTTAAAGACAAACACATCAGAGCAAAGTGAAGCACAGCTATAAAGTTACTTTCATATTTGACCTTGAAGGTTAAACATGTTGTAGTATATGCTCAGATGATTGACTGGATCAAATATTCTATGAGTAGATTGCCTTCATATCCATTTGTAATTTCAACACACATATCGTTTGATGCATACATTGGCGTTAATCTGGAAAACAAACGGCATGAACAGGACAAAGCAGCAGAAACATACACAAATCGTATTAGCGCCCATTATGGCATTGTCCTGCTTTAATGAATTCAGTTTCAAACCTAAAACAAATATATTATATATAATACATTCAAAACATATTTTGTGTTAAATGAATGGAACTGAACTGATGTTTTTTCTTTGATCTTTTAGTGGTTTTTATTTACTTTGCAAACTATATGAAAATAAAATATCCAGTAAAATGATATTACTTTTTGAGATTTATTATATTTCATAGACGTACATTCTTTTCTATATAGGAAATATTTACACTTAATTACATTTGTATGTCTATACAATCATGTTATTGGTATTTTTTTCAGTAACTTATTTATCTAATAATTCATCTAAAAAGATCATTTAAATGATTATAAAAAAAACAACAATTAAACAAAACAAAACAAAAGCAACAACCTGTTATTTATATAAGAAAGGTACTGGTACCTATTCGTTACCCTATTAGGTGCCACTGTGGTGGTCCTGTGTACCTGGAACATGTCAGGACCATTAATTGCTCGCCCTTGTTAATCTTTGATTTCTTTTTTCAGTGAGTTCCATGGGAGTTGTAATAAGCTCAAATTATATTAACATCATTTTTTATGTTTTAGCTATTTCTATTTTAAATTAGAAAGCGAAGTTAATACCTATACAAACAAAATACATATAATTGTTACACTTATGTACAGTGGAAAAAATAGTGTGAATAAAGTTAGTGCTTTTATATAGAAACAAAAGTACTTTGAAATTTATGTAACTATAATGTGTATATTTTCTTATCATCGTAGCAAATGGAAAAGATGAGTCATTAGAAAAGTTGACACTTTCTATCTCGAATAGTTTGTCCATCTATTGAAGGTAAGTTTGTACAAAATTAATAACAAATTTTCATATTTTTTTGTCGATCTCAAAATTTTAATTTGTTCAACAATAAAAGTTTTTTAAAATGTTATGCTTGTCTTTGTTTTGTATCATTTAAATCCTTTGGAATCATTGATTCCAATACTTTAAGAATTTAAGAGAGAACATTATTAGAGCCGATTGAAAAAAAACGTGATTTGTGTTGCCCTTACTCTTGCTGACATCCTTCAAATTCCATCAAACTGTGTTTGCGATTTTCATCTATTTTAGATGTTTTAAATGCTCTTCGGGGATAACACCCTTTACAATTCATTTGGAATTTACCTTTCAGTAAAACTAACACTAGATACTAGCGTACCACTTGCTTGGAATCTGGGACACCATTAATCTGCTGAATTTCTTACATGGGAATTCACGGTTAGTCCAAATAAACACAACATAGATGAATTCCGGAAAATTGGCAATGCCTCTTTCAACTCTATCACTGAAAATTATCATTCTAAATGTGTCTTCTCAGGATAATTTGTGTCGCAGATGCAGTTATATACCAATGATGTATTATCTGTTGATGAGCTGTCATTTTCTATAGACGCTGAGTCGCTTCCGGATAAAGCCTCGGTCGCAACAGAATGCAAAGCAAGAAATTACGCCCATTAGAAGGAAATAACAACCTGCTATTACGCAAAGGTAGAAGGAGTAGCCTAGTTGTGCACGTGGGAACTTTGTTGCAACGACGATGCACCCACTTATATTCAATATACCTGAAATATATATTATTATAAACCTAATTTAATCACCAGACATGCGTTACATAATTATTAGTGATAGAAAAACCTCAGAAAAACATAATTGGCAAGATGGTTTCTGTAACATGGTTGTATTTTCAAGCTCAAACATTAAGTCAGCTAAACAAAAGTTACCAAAAAGATTACTGACTTATCCATTCGAATAGGACCACTACCTAAATTAGTTATGAACTAGGCATTGACTCTGAAATTCCAGAAATAATGTAGCATTAATATATCAAACCGCACAACTGTAGTTCATTTTCACAACCTCAAATATACAAAGAATACTCAGATATTTTTAATGCTGATATGATTGTTGCTTAAGATGAGCAACTTATATTGTAATACAGAGTTTTATAATGATTGTGAAATAGAAAAGATTCTAAAAAAGTAATATGATATGTAAATTAAATCATTGAATAAGAGAATATGTGACACAAAATATAATGTATTTAAAATATACCCGAAATCGACAGCAGCAAGACTCCAAAAAACATAATCATATAGTAAAATAGCATTTCGCAACATTTAAGCAGTGCTACAGTCACCCAACTCTTTTCTTTTCCTATGCATTTGTTAAAAAATCCACATGCACAATATATACCAACGACAAACATCAAAACTCCAATCCACATCAATACAAGTGAAACAATTTGTAGACCTAGTGCTGACGTATCCAGTTCTGAAAGAAAGCATAATATGTTGTCGAGTAATGTGGTGTTTTTCAACTGTTTTATGACAACAAAATGCGCAATTTATGGTTTATTACAGAATGTTAATCAGTACAGCATCATTTCATTAAAAATCTGTAGCTCTTGATACTTTAATATACAATGATGGATTGATCATGACCATAGCCATGTATTTTCGAATATAATATAACAATAACCACACCAATGCCTTGTTCCTATCTATAACAATCATAATCATAGTCTTACATTTTTTATTCTTATCATATGTAACCATAACTATAGTCATGCGTTTTTATTTTCTTATCGAACATAACCATATCCATAATCATGCTTGTTTTTATCTAATATAACCATATCCATGCAATTTTCTGAACTGGACAGGACGGACAATACTTTAAAAAATGATTCATATATCGCCTTGTGCATGGTGCCAGTACATACCGTCCTCTCCCTGCGTACGTCTGCAAGTATTGTTATCAGGTCCACCGCAACAACTGTACAATAGTCCAACAGAGTCGCATTTATCGTTTGAAATCCACTTTGTTGTGAACAAACCAACAGTTTGGAAAATGCATGCGCCGGCGTAAAGGCAGCCTATGCAATCCAGCATACAGGGTGATAGCTGGAGAATCTTCGAATATGTCTGTAAACATAAATATATTAGAATTTATACATAGTTGAAAGTGATAGATAACTACAGTAGTATTTTCGTTAGAATGGTAATTTATTCAGGGCGATATTTACAGGCACATCAAAATAAGCCTGGTTTTGTCTTCTGGTTGAAACAGATGCTCATTTTTATTTTCACACTTTTTCTTTTGTAAGACTATTCATGAACGTACACCTTGGTTTTAGTCCGTCGGGCAGTGCCTTTTATAAATGTTTAATTCAGATCACTGTCCTCCTCATGTTATTAAGTCACGTATTGCTGCATTGTACATCTTATTTACAAACTTGTAATAATGTCTGTATCTATTAAATCATTAGCAATCTGTTTCGTCACCATGGTTTGATGGACAACGGTATGAAGCCTTCGTCATATGCAACATTTGATGATTGAACTTCCAAGGCTTATGCTCATGCAGAAATTGCATAAACACAACATTTGCCTCTGCATCTGCGGCTACAACAACAACAACCAAAACAAAATTGCTTTAACTTGAAGGTATCAAAACATAAAATTCATAAAATGCAATTTGACGATTTACTTGCTCGATCAAGGAACACAACAAATTCATGTTTGTAAGGCCAAAGAAATGCAGCTGTCATAGATTATTTTAATGATAATTTTCAGTGTTGTGAAAATTTATGTAACACACAGGGCACTGCAAAGCTGTTTTCATAGAGGACAACATAGAATCTGAGAAAATTAAAAGGCGTGACGAATCCGGTAAATTGCAAAAAGTCAAAAAAATCTCGCTGTCTAAAATCTTACTTGATATAAGAAGATATAAGTTTTGTTCACGAAATGTATGATACCAATTGTGATAAGTTTGGTAGCTGTGTGATAAAGGAAAAGAATCTTATTTGATTTAAGAGTACTTAACAGATGTTAGAGGTGTGAACGGTACCTTGCATTTTCCAGTATCTTCCTTGAAAAGGCTCAATCATACCAAGTCTGCAAACTTTTCAGTTTTGCCGTTAAGGGTGTACTTGAGTGATTCCGTTTTTCTCTATTTTAGTCTATATGCGCACAAAGATTAGAAATGTTAAAAACTGTGTACTCCAGTTTGTTATATAAAAAGGAATATGCTGGAGTAAGTTTTGCAAAAGAAATATCAAAAACTGTGTTGTCAAAATTTTTTATATAAAAAGGAATATCCCGGAGCAAGTTTTGAATAGAAATGTCAAAAACTGCGTACTCCAAATTAGTTATATAAGAATGAAAATGCGGGAGGTAAGTTTTGCATAGGAATTTCAAAAACTGTGTACTCCAAATTTGCCCTCGACAAACGCACCGCTTAGAACTGATGTTACATTCCTTACAGAAAGTAAACAAATGTAATATATGATTAGTTGAATATGGCGAAAATAGCGTCTGGTTAATTGTTGGTGAGGTAAGAATCTCGGGGGGGGGGGGTGGAGACCATAAGATTAAAAGCAGAAATCACGGATTTATATACAATAATAGTGTAATATAAATCCGTGCAGAAATATATAAAAAAGAAAGAAAACAAAACTTTCACTCTATAACTGTTCGACATTGTGCAATAATGAACCATTCATTACCTGTATATCTCTAGTAAAGTACACTGACATTTTCAATGAAATGATAAGTCAATAGAAATGGAAGAATATAAAATCAGAAAAGAAGAATATATACCTTTTAATCACTATTATATATTTTTCTATTCGGAATTTTCTTCCACTGAAAGGTGCATATAGAAATATCCAAATGCTAAATATTAATTACCCATGCAGCAGAGGTCAATACATGTAAAACGAGCTTTTCCTTTCGATATCTTCTGCACAGTAAAAATATGGAATAGTATACCCTGATAATGCTTGTAACTTTTAAAGCAATTTATTTACATGACTATTGCATATCGTTATTTGTACATCATATTTCAGTGTTGATAAGATTGAACGGGTAATCATTGTATTTTATTATGTAGTTTTAACGGCTTATTAAAATGCGAGCATAGTCTCTCTAAAATCACATAAACCCTAGGTAGTCCTGTGTAGTAAGTAATAAATTATACGAGACTTACCTGGAAGTTGAAGTTTAATTATTATTCTACTGCTATTGGACCACAGGGTTTAATGCCCACCCGGTTATCCCTCCCTTATGAATTGTCGCATTTTGCATAATTATGTATGCTTTGAAAGTCTGCTTGGTCATCTGAAAAGATGATGTTCATCTCATTCAACCCTGTTGTCCAGTAGCAGTAGAATAATACTTGAACATCAACTTTCAGGTAAGACTCGTTTGATTTATTAATTATACCACATCTTGACCACATTAACTACTAATACGCTCAAGTATGAGATAACTTTACAAGTCTTTTTCCAGATTGCAAATCATCCATTAATCATTTTCATTGCAGTGGCGTACCTACCGATACCCCATTAGGCACGGGCCTATAAAAAGAAAAAAATACAAAAATGAAATCAATAATTCGGGCAAAGATCGATCAACATATATTTAGCTGCTAATTGATTCCTTAAGTATGCTGAGGATGTTTCCCAATTCGAATAAGTGTAACCTATTTTGATAATGTGTATCAATCAAAAGTAACGAGGGAATTGAGCATATTAATAACATTGCTTGTATATATCAACAGGAAGCCATTTTAGAGAGAATTGATCGTTGGTTGAGTCTGGAAACTGAGTAATTAAAGTTTTTAAGAAGGTATGGTTTGAATTATCTCACCCTATGCGGATTCTAATGAGGACTCAGAAAACAAAATGTTCGGCCCATATCTATCGTCATAAACCATACTCAACTTATATTTATTTGATCGTAAAAATATATCACTATAAAAATAATTACTTTTACTGTCTTATTTTATTGACTAGAGAAATTAATTGCAACCTTCTGCAAACAATGACATATGTTATTTATTATACGTAGTCTCATCTATAAATAAATATACAATGAGAGCAGTGTATACCCCATAAAATAGATAATATGACACTTAATGTCCCGATTCTGGCGAGTCTTTTTATACCAACGTCCTTTTATATGCGTTTTGCTTTTCACTATGTACTAAACTAACTTAAACATTTCAAATAGAATGAAAATTGAAATAAAAGAGTTGATAAAAAAAACTGTTAATGATAAAAATCATTTTTTTTAACATTGACATAATCCGCATTTAGAAATATTTTTTTAAGGATCTAACTGATCACGCGATACTTCATTTTAGATTTTAACACGATAGCTTATTGTTACGCTATAAACAATTTTAACTGCTGTGTTTGTACCATCGTAATACAGATCATTTTACATGATATTTTCCTTAATTATTTCTCATGTTACGTTATGGTGAGACATGGGGAAAGATAAAAAGGGAAGAAAAACTTCTTAGAACCCATCTTGATAACAATAGAGACACCTGGCTATGATACAATGCAGTAAATAATTTTTGAATCATTTAAGACAGTGTACAGGTTAGAATGTGCAATTTCTCTCACATTCAATACATGTACTTAATGTTACTTTCATAACAGTAGATAAAGATTGTTTTTTAAGTGGTCCAATTATATGATATTCAATCGCTTAGATATCCGCTTAATCCCTGATAATAGTACAGAGGTAAATTTAAAATAAGTCTCGGCCAAAGACCTGAACTCGGCATTGATAAGCCGAGGTAAGGTTCGCACCACCATCGCGTTAATAAATATTGTAAATGCAATTTAAGATACATTTAATGGCCTTTTTTATTTTCGACGAACATATACGTTTTAGAAAAGCATACAATAGACAACTCTATAAAAAAAAGGTTTTGCAAAGACTTTATTCGCGCTTTTCTCATTAGGGAGAGCATTTGCTTTGTAATCTAGATGTCGTTGGTTCGATTCTTTGACCAGGCGAAATTTCTCCGTGACAAATGTTCTTTGTCATTGAGTCATATTTGTCTCTCACCTCTATTTTGCACAGAAATTAGTTATTTTATTTATATTCAAGGAATTCCGATTCAGTCGACCGACCGCCGAGATATCATTGAAAACCGAAATAAACAAACATGTATAGATATTATATGTGCAACGCTGCACGTATTTATTGATCTCGAATGACGAAAGACAACTTTTTATTTTAAAAAAATTTGAATTTACGATGTTATCTCCCTTTGATTATAAACATATGCGCAAAAGTTGTTCATGAGAAACTGTAAAACATTTATCCTCAACAAATTTAACAGCAAAAACAAAGTGATTAAATTGCTACAAAAGTAATAAAAATGTTTCATAACCGAATAATTAATAAATATAATAAAAATCGTCGAAAGACTGCCTTGTTAGTTAAGAAGAGACATCGTCAAGCGAGGGCCTTGCTCGACTATTTAAGACAAACACATCAGAGGAGGAATATTCAATCAAAGTGAACGCACACCTATAAAGTTACTTTCATATTTGACCTTGAAGGTTAAACATGTTGTAGTATATGCTCTGACGATTAGCTGGATCAAATATTCTATAAGTAGATTGCCTTCATCTCCATTTGTAATCCTGATTCTATTCTTCAACACACATAGCGTTTGCTGCATACATTGGCGTAATGGTATGAACAGGACAAAGCAGCAGAAACATACACAAATCGTATTAGCGCCCATTATGGCATTGTCCTGCTTTAATGAATTCAGTATCAAACTTAAAACAAATATATTATATATAATACATTCAAAACATATTTTTGTGTTAAATGAATAGAACTGAACTGATGTTTTTTCTTTAATCTTTTAGTGCGTTTTTATTTACTTTGCAACTTATATGGAAAAAATCCAGTAAAATGATATTATATTTTGAGATTTATTATATTTCATACACGTACATTCTTTTCTATATAGGACATATTTACACTTGATTACATTTGTATGTCTATACAATCATGTTATTGGTATTGTTTCATTAACTTGATGATATGAAAAGTAGATAATTCCTCTAAAAAGATCATTTAAAATGATTACAAAAAACAAAACAACAATAAATCAAAACAAAACAAAATCAACAGCATGTTATTTATATCAGAAAGGTACTGGTTTTATGTCAGTCACGTTTCGTTCTCCTATTCGTTACCCTATTAGGTGCCACTGTGGTGGTCCTGTGTACCTGGAACATGTCAGGACCATTAACTGCTCACCCTTGTTGTTTTTTGATTTCTTATTTCAGTGAGTTTCATGGGTTTTAAACTATCCACAACAAAGGCAATAAAGCATTAATTTCTTATATTTGAAAATAGTTCGAATTATATTGACAACAAGTTTTATGGTTCAGCTATTTCTTTCTCAAATTAGACAGCGAAGTTAATACCTATACAAACAAAATACACAATAATTGTTACATTTATGTACGGTGTGTAAAACATAGTGTTCTTAGAGATCCT